AGATATATGACACCAATCTCTTCTCCCTTGTCCAGGTGATATATCACCTGGTCATAGAAGGAGATGAGATTGGTCAGGCAAGACCTACCTGCAATAAACCCGTGCTGGCTGTTTCTCAGGATGATGCCATCAGCCAGTTTGTCAAGAATAATATCTTTGATAATTTTTTCAAAAATCTCTCCAGGGTTTGAGGTCAAGCTGTTTGGCCTGTAGTTCCCTGATCTACTTTCCTCCGTTTCTTGAAGATAGGCACCACATTGGCCTTCTTCCAGTCTTCAGGTACTTCACTTGAGCGCCACGAGTTCATGAAGATCCTTGCCAGCAGCTGGGTTATAATGCCTGCCAGCTCCTTAAGTACTGTCACTGCAAACAGTCAGGACCAGCTGACTTGAAGGTGTCCAGCCTCTCAAGGTGTTTCTTGACATGGTCTACACTGATGGAGGGTATAAATTCACCCTCACCCTGACTGTTCCTCATTGTGTTAAGCAGGGAGTTCCCTTTGAACTGGTGAAAAACTGATGCAAAATACCCATTAAGGAGGTTGGCTTTTTCCTGGGTGTCAGTTGTCAGTTGTCCCATTGTTTTAGTAGAGGTCCAATGTTACCCTTGTTTTTCTTCTGACTACCCACATATCTGAAAAAGGACTTTTTATTGTCCTTGATACATGTAGCCAGGTAGAGTTCAGTTGCAGCCTTGGCTTTCCTGGTTTGCTCCCTACAGGCACAGACCAGTGCAGAATACTCTTCCTTTGTGGTGATTCCAGTCTTTCATCCTGTATAAGCCTCTCTTTTTAGATACAGGAGGTCCATGAGTTCCCTGCAAAGCCAAGCAGGTTGCTATGCCCTTTTGCTACCTTTTCTCTTAGATGGGATGGACATCCCTGGTGCTTTCAGGATCACTCCCTTGAGGAGCAACCATTCATCCTGAACTCCCCTCCTTGTCAAGTCATGGTCCCTTAGGGCTTTGACAACAAGCCTCCTGAGCTTATCAAAGTCAGCTTTCCTAAAGCCAAGGACTTCTGCATTGCTGGCTGACTTGCCAGCTTTGTGGTGGATAGTAAAAGTGATCAGTTGTGGTCGCTGTCTCCCAGCTTTCCTTCAGTTCTTAGGTTGCTGACTAGATCATGCCCCTTTTCCAGTACCAGGTTGAGCAGCGCTTTACCTCTTGTTGGTGCATAGACTTATTGAGTCATAGACTTCTTTGTCAGGTGTATCCCATCTCTTCCTGGCAATCCTTCTTCTTGGAACAACATCCCATGGTCAAAGAAGCCAAAGTCCTGCTGGCAACCATCTACGCAACCATGCATTGATCTGTAGGATATGTCCACTCCTGTGCAGGCCCTTCCCCTTGACCGGAAGGATTGATGAAAACATGACCTGAGTCTCTTTCTCTTTCACACTTGCACCCAGAGCCCGGTAGTCACTTTTGAGCTACTCAGGCTCTCCCCTGGCAGTATCATTGGTGCCACATAGATGAGCAGCATGGGGTAGTAGTCAGAGGGATTGATGAGTCTTGGTAATCCAGTCCTCATCTCTCTTACTTGGCAGACACTGACTCAGATGCTTTCAGGGCCTGAGTCCTCAGGACAACACTATTCATCTAAACTGCACTGGCGTAATACTGCATACTAACATCTCCAGCTCTCCCAGCAGGGATCCTGGACTGTGTTGTGCATACTGTATGGATTGCTCTCATTCAGGGAGCTGCTCCTGACACAGTCACACCCATTGTGTTTCCTTGATTCCCTTCATTAACGAAAAGAGCACGTGGTAGCCAGAGCCTGTGAGTTGTGCATACCTGGGGACCAACCATCCTGGAAAGAGGAAGGTCCTTCTTTGTCATGGCATTGGGAAGAAAAAAACCTTGTTTTGTCCATGGGGATGCAGCACTGCTACTTGGTGTTTCTGGCTCCTTTAGTACCTGGCAACATCACTTGTTTTTACTCCCAATGGACTTGATACTGCAGCATTATGTCCAGTAGCTCTTGCATCATTAGGTGAAGGCAGAGCAGGTCGTGCCCTACAGGTCTAGGCACATGTTACTTTTGAGGTAGTTAAACAAGAGTCGTTGTTTTACTACGTGATGCTGACACTGGGAAGAGGGGCAAGGGTTTGGGGCAGCTACTGCAGGTACAGTGACACTTGGTAGGGGCCAAGGGACCCAAATCATTTATTAATGGAGGCAAAGGAGCTGCACTGACTTCAGAGCTCAGCAGAGTCCGCAAACACTTCCCTCCCGCACACGGGATTTTGTGTCACTGCAAGGGGTCATGGGGAAGTATTGTTTGGGCTTTGACCCTGGTGGCATTGTAGTCCTACTCTTGGGCCAGTGTGATGTGAACTCCCCACATCTCCAGGTGAATCTGGGGCCGATCTCTCAGGCTCACCTCCACTATGTCTGGAATCCAGGGACTCCGGCGCTGTTTCCACTCGGACCGCTCGGCAGACCCAGCTTCGTCCTGAGACGTCACAGGTTTCAGTCAGGCCAGAGCAGATCATTCAGCGCCAGGAAAGGGGAGAGTCTCTGTAATTTGTATCTCGGTTCCTTTGCCGTCTGGTGAGGTGCAGCTTTTCTTTCTCTTCATCTACAAAAGGACAGGGCTCTCCGTTCAGAAAGGATGATAGACAAGGGGGAATTCACTGGTATTTTAAATGTAACCACTAGGCGGAGGTCTTTACCCAGGATGTGTGAGGATGGTAACAGATAGATCCTGCCCAGCAAGGCAGTGTGTTCCCCACACACCGGCTTTCCACATGTAACATTGAATCTCCTTAGTCTGCAAGTTCAGACATGAACACTACGGTAAGTCCTCCACCGTGTCCTAATGATCTGCACTGGGTGACATTTTCCTTCCAAGGACCTGCAGCTCTTTACAAGTCCAAATTAAGTATATTCCCCAGCAGCCCTGGAATGGAGTGGACGGGATTTTCCATGAGAGAGGTGACCCACAGAGCAATGACAGCCCCTTGTCCTGAGCAAACACCAACCCAGCAAACATGGGTATGACATGCTTCCCCCACATGCATATCCCCAAACCTCCCCAAACAAGTCTATCAAAACAGAAATACTGAGAAGAGTAGATGGATTAAATCCTTTCGAAACCTCAAATTTACTCAAGCAGAATTTTAACTTCCACGAGGCGGAAATACCCGAAGCCTACTTGGGACATTGATACTGCCTCAGCCGGATGGGGAAGGTGCTCAGATACTGCGCTGGCAGGGTAATAGATGGGCCCAAGATCAGATCCTCCTTTCATACGTGAAGGTGCTGAGGCTTACAGAGATTTGTATCTGACCATGGTCACACAGCACATTTATGGCAGAGTTGGGAATCAGACCTGTGTCCACTACCTCTCAGGGCGCTCCTACAGCATAGAGGCCAGGCAACATAAAACAGTGTGTGTTGGAGCCCAGCACCCCATTGCCACATACAGTCTGTCCATGTCCCAGGGTCTCCTCATTCCCTTGCCTGTGCGGGTGATCAGAGTGGGTCATGAGCAGAAGGGAAGTACATGCAGTCAGATGTGGATTACGCTATATCCACTACTCCATTAATTGGTCCTGTGAGTGTGGTACCTTAGGCAGGCAGTAAGCAGGGGGCAGATTCGCATGAAGGGGCTGCTCTCAGATCTGAGACTGTAAGAGCGACTCATGGAGTCCCATCCAAGGACCAGTTTGTCGGTGGAAACCAAGCTGGTCTGAATTCCCGTCATGGCATCGGCCTCATGGGTATCCACAGAATCCTAGCAGTCCTCACCTACTCATCGTATACGGCACTGGCAGTGGTGACAACAGACCTTGGTTAGTTGAACAGTTGCAACAGATAACCAGCTGTTTTCATTCAGTAGATGAAGTAATTGTGGCACAAAGTTACTTAGACCTGACCGTGCAGCACTTCTGTGCCACAGCTGAGAAATCCTGGCTTTGTCTGCTGGTGCCCAGTGCACTCCTTGAATACACGGGCAAGGCTTCATCTAGAGCAGTAGGCCCTGGAGACCCAGTTCTCTTCTCTCCTTGCGTGTTTAACATCAGTCCATCATCTCAACCTCAACCCATTTCCAGGCTTCTGTCTTAGCAAACGGGGATGAAGGGAGCGTGGTCCTGTGATCCAGACATGGATGAGAACAAGACCCCAATGAAACATGCACTCTCAACACAACTTGTCAATGATTAATTCAGTTCATTCATGATAGTACTTTCCTGGTAATGCCCTGATTCATCTTCCTCCTTGCTGATACTGGCTGAACAGTGGGGATGGGGCTTATGCTTTGTAAGAGAGGTTGAAGTCCAATAGGTATTCACCTAAACTCCTCTGGGAGGGGTAGCACATGGTTCCTAGAAAAATCTAGGTCCCACCGTGCAGTGCCAGTGCCGACCTAATAATGGGTTAACAATCTTTTTGGTCATGCCTTGGCTCTGCGTATTGCAGTGGTTCACCAGGCTGTTGGACTTCTGGCTATTAATTAAATACATGAGTTCATATTACAAGAGCCTGACTGTCCACACTGCCACTCTGGGCAACAGCCTGACTGCCTTAAAACCACTGCAGTTAGCCCATGGTTCCCCCATAGTAGAAAGGGCAGGATTAGACTGAAATTTGATTCCTGGCTCAGTGCCTTTTTCAGAGAAACAGGAGAGGTGTTTTCAGCAGCTAGTCAGCAGGA